CCGCCATGTACTGGTTCTGACATTAGGTAACTTCTCTGTCAGATTTTCTGTCTGTAAAATAGGGATGGTAATTATAGAAACTAACTCTTGGGATTAAGTTATATATGTTAAGCACTTAAACTATAGTGTTTGTAATTGTCAATATTATTGCTGTTGTGGTAATCCTGTTAAGAGGTAAGGGTAGAGGAGAGAAGTGGGCAGATGCAGGAGCTATACAGGTGATAGGATTGGCAGGAATTCATGAGTGATTGGATGGCAGTAGGGTAGATAAAAGAGAATAGGAGGTAAGGATGAAATGCAGGTGTGTACTTGATCAGTTGAGTGGATGGTGGTTCCAGTCCCCAAAGTAGGAAAGACAGTAATTGAAATAGGTTTATGATGTGGGGTCAATGTTAAGTTCAGTTTGGGGTTTCTTAAATTGAGGTACCAGACTGATATAAGTAGAAATGATCAGGAAGTAATTGACAGTAAGATCCAAAGATCAGAAGTGTGGTGTGGGCTAAAGAAATGGAAGTAGGAATGATCAGTATAAATCTGGTTGTCTAGCTTAGAAGCAATATAATGCAGAATAAAGGTGGAATGACAGATAGACTTTTAACAGAACTGTAGAGAACACCAATAGTTAAAATTTAGACAAAGAACCCTTACGTTAAGAAAAGATCAAAATAGTTTTTGGAGGAAGATGAGCATGAAGTTTGAGTCCATTAAGTATTCCCTTGTTGAGGTAGCTGAATTTGAGAAATATTTAAATTTGCAATTTTTATGTAGACATAGGCCAACATACACTATACTATCTATAATAATAAAAGTGTAATATGCTAATTAGACCGGATGTCCTTACAGACGTCCTTTCTTCTGGACAAAGCTGCAGAGGCGGCAGAGGCCCCAGACCACGGTGGTGGGCGGGGGCCGGGGCCAAGGCCCTTGCACGAATTTTGTGCATTGGGCCCCTAGTGTGTTTCATAATTTGGCTATCTTGATTTTATGTACCATCATATTCCACATTCTTCCAATATGTAATTTTTCCCTTATAGGATATTAGGCAACATAGTGGATGCTATGGTTATAGATGTTGATATCTGATGACCTGTTTAATCTACTTTTTTATATTTTTTGACATTTCCTTCCCCTCATTTTTTACCTCCCCAGTTACTGATTTAGTGCAGCCTTCATGTAAAAAATTGAAAAGGGGGAGAATGTGTTTCTCCTTTCTTGGGTCCAATATCTTAGAGTTTTATAATGATTTCTCTATTTTAATTTGTTTACAACACCGCCATAAGTGAGCATAATTTTGGAAAGAGCCAGGAGATGAATTGGAGAAATAGACACTTTTTCCAACATCACAATTACTTCTCAGCTTCAGTGCCTGCATCTCTAATACAGTGAGGTTTGACTTCCTCTCATTAGTAAGAGTTAATTCTCAAAAGAACCCTCAGCACTTCATGAATAGAAGATGTCTGGCAGCACTGCCTCCTACCTCTTCACCTCTGATCCTTATTAGGGCTCAGGTCAGGCTCCAGCTAAGTCCCTCCTGGAGGGCGTGCTGATCAGAAAGGCCTGATCCAGAAGCCTTATCTGCCTATAACACATGCCTAAAGAAAGGCATCATATTTATAGAATCAGGCTGAGTGTTGCATTTTTTATGTTCAGTTTTGTGTTATCAGAGGAAAATTGTGAAACAACTTTGAAATGGACCAAAAAGATTACTGAGTATACTATCTGACTCAGCTTTCTAAGGTTACCTCGTCCTTTTATTATCTTTGAGCTCTTTTACAATCCTGTAAGTGATAGAAAACTGAAAGTAATGGAAAAGGTTCTTGTTCATTGAAAAGGAAATTGTGTACTGTGGAATGCAATTGGTTATTGCCCTCTGGATAGTTACCAATTTTACCCGTTTTGCATCTACTTGTAAATTCTTTGCAGTACTCTTTTTTTTTTTTAATTTTAAGATTTTAATTGACCAAAAATTTATTCCAATCTCACAGTGCCAAACTGGAAGTGGTTATGAGTGCTCCTTTTTTGCTGTATTCTTGATGTTTATATATTTGTCTGTTCCTTGAATTTGCCTTTCAACCAATTATAACATCTATGGATTTCCCTTTTAATTAATGAATCAATTGAAATCTATGTCCCATGTGCAAAAAAATTCTCTCGCTATATATACACATGTATGTTTATACATGCATATAACATCTCTAGAAAAATTTATAGAAACTGCTGGTTATGATAGCCTCTACAGAAGGGAAGGCAGGAAAACTTGCTTTTTGCAATTTGCCCTTTTGAATCCTTTGGATTTTGTATCATATGCTTATATTAACTAAACAAATAGATAAATTTTTAAAATTTATTACTGCCCCTAGCTGTTTTGGCTCAGTGGATAGAGCGTCAGCCTGGGGACTGAAGGGTCCCAGGTTCAATTCCAGTCAAGCGCACATGCCCTGGTTGTGGGCTCAATCCCCAGTGGGGGTCGTGCGGGAGGCAGCCGACCAATGATTCTCATCATTGATATTTCTTTCTCTCCCTCTCCCTCTCTGAAATCAATAAAAATATATTCTTAAAAAATTCATTACTGAACTCTAAAATCAGTTCTTAGCTAGTCCTTACCAAAACATCAACATCAACTAAATTCACATTTGAATTAACTGACTCTGAAAGGAGATCTTTGTCCCTAAATAAACTACCAGTACATAACAACCTACCTGTCAGCATCCTACCTACAGCCTTATTTCTGTACCTTTTAAAGCAAAGCTTTCACCTCTTTTTAAGATAACTCTAACACTGTACAAACATTGGGTCAGATGGTACCTATTCTATTTTGAATCTATTAAAGGATCACAATCTTAGTGTGGAGTGAGGTGGTAAACCAGTTAGCCTGTTTTGCAGTTGTTCTAAATTCACATTATCAATTCACCTTGCCTCTTGCCCAGCTATGCATACTCAATAACTCCCCTGGTCTAATTATAGCTAGCGGCTCTCCCTTTAAGCTAGAGGTTCTCAAGCTCGGATGCACAGTGAAATCGCCTGGGAGCTTTTAAAAATCGGGATGCCCAGAACAATTAAATCATAAAGTCTGGGGTTGGGAAACCGGTACTTTTTAAAGCCACTGGGGTGATGCTCAGGTTGAAAAGACTGCTTCATGCAGAGAACAGCACTGGTTTAGCAGAAACTTCATATACTGCACCTTGGGAGCAAAAGCACTGTGAGTCCCTGACTGGAAGATCAGTATTCGTGATGAGGAGGGTCCACACAGAAAAGGGGGCAGCCTTTACTGAGTCTCCTTACATGCAGAACCTGTTTTACCCTGGGTCACCTCTGGAATGGAAGAAAGAAGGGATTGGGTGTGATTTAAAAGCCCAAACTGACTTGGTTATAGTTATTAGAGCTTTTTTTAAAAAAAATAGTTCTCAATTCAGCTGAGGTTTCACTGAGTAGAAAATACCAAATTGGGACTGCTGGGTGCATATGCCTGCCTTGTTCCTCTGCCATTAGGGGCACAAAGCCAGCCTAGTGATGAGTGGCATCTAATACCACTGCCACCATATGGCTGAATTACTGACACAAAGCTATATTTGTTGTACACTGGTCAGCTGGGAAAACCACATATTGTACAACTAGAGGCCCGATGCATGAAATTCGTGGAAAAGTAGGCCTTCCTTCTCCTGGCTGCCGGCACCAGCTTCCCTCAGGAACCTGGGACCCAGGCTTCCCTCGCAGCCCCGGCTTTCTTTGGAAGGTCATCTGGAAGGACGTCTGGAAGGATGTCTGGTCTAATTAGCATATTACACTTTTATTATTATAGATGTGACCTATTAAGTGTCTTTTATTGTCAAAGGTCCTAGAACTTCACTGCTCTACCCCACAACACTGGGCTTTGTTAAGAGGTCTTTGGTAGAGAGTTAGTTTCAGAAGGGGAGAAGTAAACAATGCATCCTTCATGCATTTCCTTGAAGATGGTAAAGCAGGGAAATAGTCTATCTCTTGGCATGCCCTTCACTCCCCGAAAGGTATCTTCTCATGGGAAGTCCTGATTACTGGCCTGCTTCGGTTTCATGCTTTAAACCGTTTTATTGTTGCCTCCGCCATTTTTAAAACATGAAAATTGGTATCATGAACTCTGCTGTGGTTTGCCTTCATGTACTCATTGTATATCCCCCTCCCTTTTGTATAGGAAGACAGAGATGTCAATAACCCCATGCCTAACCGAGGAGGCAATGGACTAGTTCCTGGGGATGACAGATTCAAACCTGTGGTACCCTGGCCTCATGTTGAAGGAGTAGAAGTGGACTTAGAATCTATTAGAAGAAAACACAAGGCCAAAAATGAACAAGAGCACCATGCTGGAGGAGAGAACCAGAGGGACATAATGCAGAGGCAGTATCTCACTTTTAAGCCTCAGACATTCACCTACCGGGATCCTGTGCTACGCCCCGGGATCCTCGGTAACTTTGAACCCAAAGAACCTGAGCCTCATGGAGTGGTTGGTGGCCCTGGAGAGAATGCCAAGCCATTGGTTTTGGGACCAGAACTCAAACATGCAGTTCAAGCCAGCATTAAAGAGTTTGGATTTAACATGGTGGCAAGTGACATGATCTCCCTGGACCGCAGCGTCAATGACCTACGGCAAGAAGAGTAAGCACACGTCCTCTTCTTTCTAAAACGGGGGCAGCTATTGTTTGATAGATATTTAGTTAGATGCTTAGAATGGAGAAAATATCTGTGCCTTTATTTCAAGGAAATAAGAGGATCTTTGGTCTGCAAAATGGCCAGAGGAAGAGATCTCTCCATTTATGTCTGCTAGGATATGGAAGGTATGTCGTAGAGAATTCTGGGATCTTCCCCATGAGCCTTGCTCAGAATCTGGTCCTCAGACTGGCATCAGTCTGTGAGATTTTTGTTACCAGTCCACAGTGAGAAAATGAGCTGGCACCAGGATGTAAATCGACTATTAAGTACTGTGTTTAGTTCAACTGACAACCTCATGACAAAATTTTGTTGGTGTGCTGCTTTTCATTCTGGATCTAGCTCCTTATTTTGTTGTGGAACAAGAGCAATAGTAACACTGCTCTAGACTATTACAATTAACTAGATATTTATGTGTCCATTCATTTTTTTCCTCTCTACACCAAAACTCATGAGTATGCAAAGGGAGCACGCAGACCGATAAAATTATGGCCTAAACTTTCAAATTCTTTTCATGTAGTTTAATTTAAAATAAAAGATTTCCAAGTCTTAGCTTTCAATAGATGGTAATTATTGAATGAACTCAAAGCTTTTCTCTTTCAGTTTATTCAATAACTGGTTCTACTCCTCTAGGATCTAAATCGTGTCCATTAATGTGGATGCATATTTAATTCACTGCTACTAGAAAACTCACAAAATGTATTCCTGATGATGTATTATTAACTAACCCTCATTTTAAAAGGTTAACACAACACATGCACGCGCACACACAGCAGCATTCTTTACGACCACAAAGTAAAATTTTGTACCTAACATAGTGCTACTCAGTAGACTTTGGACATTAATGTTTATTAGAACAGTGGGAGGAGGGTGAATAAAATATATGAAAAAATAGAAGGTGTAGAAGTATAGAGCCATGATGGTGAGAGGCATAACCTCTTCTACGGACAAGAGTTAGAGCATCTTAAGGAACTATAAAGGGAGAACCTTGGATCAATTTATTCCTAATCAAAGTAGAAATTTGCTTTGTTATAGGGTTGCCGGATTTCACAAATGGAAATAGGGGTCTCTCAGTTAAAATTGAGTTTCAGATAGCAGTGAAAAACATTTAGTATAAGTATATCCCAAATAGTATATGAGACATACTTATACTTAAAATTTTTATTATTTATCTTAAATCCAAATTTAACTGGATGTCCTATATTTTGTTTGGCAACCCTTCTAGTCAGCACAGTGAAAATAGTTCTTATAGAGCTAGAACTGCCTTGCACGTACCCTTTAGAACCCATCTGCAGTCCCTCCTCTGGAGTGCACCCAGTAAAATACAGCACTCAGTCACAGCACTCGTCTCTGTTATAGAGGTTCTCCAAGAGCCTGCTGATGGCCTTCTCATCACTGTAACAGGGAAAGGATGGGGACGGTCTAACATTTATTGACTTTCCACAACATGCTTGAACTTACTATAAGTTATCTTATTTCATTCGCACAATGAAACTGTAAGAGAGTTCTTACCTGTGTTTGTAAAGTCTGAGACTTAGAGTTGTGCTTTCTTTGTATTCGCCTAGCAGAATGGTACAGCTGTGCTTCCACCCAAGGTGGTTTGGTGTGCGAGCCCCTTCTCTTCCCAGCACACACCTCAAGGTGTGGCAGTGTGCCTCAGTGCGTGTTACAGTACAGTCAGAGGGTGAGCTCGGTGTAGAAGCTGAGATTTTTAGCACATGAGTTATTTATAAAAGATAGTCTTTTCAAACACCAGTATAAATCTAGCTCACTTTTCTATATAAGAAATATGTTAAGAAAATCAAGTGACGTACAAGGCAGAGCAGTGCCCAGGATTAGAGTTATCCTCCCTGCCTCCCTCTCCTTCACCCCTCACATCCATTCTGTCTGCAAGACCTCTCGTTGCTGCCACCAAACTATGTCCCAGATCATGTCTGAGTGCCCTTCTCTCATCTACACCGCCGTCACCCAAGTCCAGGCCCCCATCTCTCTCGGACTCCTGCAAGAGCCTCCTTCCTGTCTCTCCATTTCTACCCTTGCCTCCTACCTTGCTCACACAGAAGCAGTGTGGTGTTTGGGCCCACTAATGTAGCTTATCTAAAACCATTCTTTGCCTTCCCAGTGAACCTGAAATAAAACCCACATTCCTAACCAGCAGCAGTCCCCATGCCGGGACCCTTCCCTGCCTTGCCAACCTCATCTGCTACGATACTGATACCCCTTGCCCACGGTGCTCCAGCTGTGTCAGCTCTTCCCTCCTCCGGGAATGAGTTTCCCTTCTTGAGGCCGGCTCCTTCCCATCCTTTAGGTCCCAGTTGAACCTCTCTAGTCATGCTGTCCAACTTGGTAATGCCCTGCTTTATTTTCTATGACTGCTCTCTGGCCATCTCTTTCATAGCATTCATCAAGTTTTGTAACTAGATATTGGTTTATTTAGTTGTTTATTGATTACCTTTCTTACTAGAAGATAAGCTCTTGAGAGCAAGGAATATGTCTGTTTTCTTCACCAGCTACTTTGAGTAACTGACAACTAGGAGCTTGGTAGTTCTCTGTTGGTTAATATCTGTCGAGAGGATGGATGGATAGGTGGATGGATGGATGAAATGGATGGATGAAATCTTCCAGGGTTCAAACCTTGGCTTCATTAACAGATATGAGATCTTAGACCAGTTATTTACCCTCTCTAACCCTCAATTACATAATCCTTAAAATAGCTCTAACAATACCTATCTCTAAGGATTGGCATTATACTTTAATGATATTAGAAACTTAACTCTTATTGGCTGTTTATATTGATATGGCACATTTGAATGTTTTCAGTTACTATTTAACTTTGATGTCTCTGTTGCTTTTTGCAAAACATAAATGTCACACACTGCCTTATCTGCATCATCTTCCACAATGGCAAAGCCTTCATCTCGCCTTTGATAATTTCAGACACAACGGTTGCAACCCTTCCAGCTCGCCGAGTGTTCCTTGCTCTCCTGCACTTGCCTTCCTTTCTGTCTTTCTTTGTCTCTCCCTCCCTCGCTCTCTTCCTTCCTTTCCACAGTGCATCCCTCCTTTTTTCTTCTTTCCTCCCTTTTTTCCCCTTCCTTCCTTCCTTCCTTCCTTCCTTCCTTCCTTCCTTCCTTCCTTCCTTCCTTCCTTCCTTCTCCCATGTTTTGCCAATTGTTCCCCATGTTCTTTTTTCTTGCACAACCAGAGCAGTTCCTAGAAACAGGATTATTGCAAATTTCTGTTTGTCATTCCTCTATGTATGTGTGTCCAATCAAATAAAAGGACCCAGGGCCATCTTAGCAGATGCTCACAAACCCCTCTTTAAAATTCTCTGCTAGTGAGAAACCTTTTTTTTATACTTCAAAATACTCAAACATGGTAACCCCCAGAAACTTTTAAAAAACTGAATACAGATTATTTTTTAAACTTGATTCTTTCTCAGACTTTTTAAAAAAATGAAATAGGCTTCATTCCTCTTTGAGCACATAAAATTCAATGTAGAGAACTGAATAATTTCTAAGGAGTTATTAATAAATGAGGATGTGGACAGTCAAGAATTTTCTCTGGAAAAAAAAAGGCAATAACAAAGAAAACACCCCGAAGTTTTATACATTATTTAATGTGCATTAGCACTTTCCTGCTTTTACTGGCAACATGCAGCATGTTAAAAAACAAAACATACATCCATATCTCTCACACACACCCTCCTTCATACTCATCCCTTGTGGAGAGCATGCTACAAGGAGCCCATCCGAGACTGGCTTGACATTGCTGACTTTCTGAAGCTTTAGAGTGTAGGCCTTATCAGCCTTGTTCTCTTGCCTCTGTCAGACATATAAATGCGCCACCTGCCCTGCTTGGAAACCACTGCTGTGGGCAGTTTGTCCAGCTGTGACATCTGACACTGTGGTTAACTTGTTCGTTTTTGTGGCTGCTCCATAGTCTTTTCAGATGAATGTTCTTTTCCTTACAAGCAGGACAGACCTGCCCAGCTGCCAGCATGACTCATAGTTATGTATGTTACAGCTTTGAATTACATTCTCTGGCTGAGTAATTTACTGGCTGTTGATTACTTGTTAAGAGTGAGTAACAGTATTTTGAGTGAACTGGAGGCCTTCTTTTTTAAAAACTTGAGCCAAAAATGACTTCACTTGCCTTCACACTTATTTTCTATAAAAAAAATATATGATTTTCTTCACAGTTCAACAGATATTGAGTAAGTCCAATGAGCAAGGTACTGTGCTAGCCCATTGGGGGATGAAACAATGAGAAAAATATAGTTCCTGCCTTCAAAGGGTTCACCATTTACCCCTGGAGAGGGGAAAGGATAGCATAATATAAAAGCCATAGGAAAGGTGTGAGCAACATGGCATGGTTCAGAGGAATGGGAAGCCACGTGGAGTTACAGGGGAGTCCGAAAAGGAGTCATTGCCTGGCCAGTGTTGCTCAGTGGTTGAGCATTGACCTATGAACCAGAAGGTCATGGTTTGATTCCCGTTCAGGACATATGCCTGGGTTACGGGATTGATCCCCAATGTGAGGTGTGCAGGAGGCAGCTGATCAGTGTTTCTCTCTCATGATTGATGTTTCTATCTCCCTCTTCCTTTCTCTCTGAAATCAATAAAAAAAAAATTTTTTTAAGAGAAAAGGATTTATGGAGGGGACACTAGGGACGGACCCTGGAAGATGAGTAGGGTTCCCCCAAGTAGAGGTTACAAATATTGAAGACATGAAGATAGGCATTGACTAGGAGGAAAGCAAGTGGTATCGATTACTTGGATCAGGAAGTGTGTGTAGAGAAACAAAGCTGATAGGTAGGTTCATGTTTAGAAGACCACGATGCCATGTACAAAGCCTGTACAGAATTTGGTAGTCAGGGGAGACCCACTGAGTATTTATAAAGGGAAATTTAGGGATATCAGAGTGGTAGAGGTGTCTAGAGTGAATTG